TGGCGAAGTTTTGTTGTATATAAACATGCTAACTATATAATTTTCGTAGGTCGGTATATGTGAAAAAATTGGTGCAGGATATCTAGAATTTAACTGTGAGTTTTATATTTAAATACTCTAGTTTCTATATTTATTCACCTATCTATTCTACTAATTGCTTTAGTTTTTATCAATACAAATATATTATAATTATTAGATCTTTAAAATAGTTTATTTATATAAAAAATCTTTAACCTTATACTAAATCTATTTGAGTTTTCTGTTATTTTAATTTCTAACTGACCTAGTATTTTGCTATAGGCAAAACCAATACTTGCAATCAGAGCTAAGCATTAAACCACTACACTCTTATAGAGTTCATATAATTTCAATACTTTTCTTTACAACTTTACTAGTATCTTGTACATTTTTATAAGTCCTTCTATACTATCAATCTAGTTAACTTTGCATGATGCAATTTTATGTCTGGATTGACTAATAATCAGATTGATAAACCTCTTTTATCTAGAAGTTTTTGTCTATATAGATCACCTGCCTTCTCTGGATCAAGATTTTTACAAATAATATTGTTGAAGATTGTATTATTTCTCTATTCAGAATTTCCAAACAAGACTTCTTATTACAGTTTATACTTTCTGGATTTATTAATATAATATTGCACACTTTCAAAGTTTGTTTTGGTGCAACCAGAATTACAGAGTTACTACTCCAGATTTTCTTCTAAGTTACCAATATCCAGCTTCTAATTATAGTTTATACTTCTCAGATTTATTTATATAACATTGCATACTTCCAGCAAAATCCGAATGAATCCCAATGTGTCGTAATAATAATTAATTACTTATCTTTGATCAATTATTTCATAATATAACTTTTATTAAACTAAATGGCCATTGTCATACATGTCATGAAATACCAAATTTATTCGTCGCATAAGTTTCCGTTAACGAAAGCTATAATGGATACTTAAAGATATTACAATTAGCCGAAATGATGATAATTTGTTAATTGAAGAAATTATCGACTTTTCAAACCCTGCTTTTATTGGTAATAATAATTCATTTATTGGAGAACAAAGCAAATACAAAGTTACAACTTAGTTATGATACGACAAATCCCAATGCCTTGAGCTTCTACTGCATCTCTACTTAGCTCATATCAAATTCCGCAAGAAAAAGAACATAGTAGGTGATTTCATAGACAAAATTTTTAGTTATTAGCATTTTTTTGATCCACAGGGTCCATTCTTTTTGATTCATCAAAAAAGGCCCAGTTTTTTGATACTATCCCATATCGATATCCTAATAAAAAAATCCAATTGGTGTCGATCGTTCTAAGATAATTGATTGGTGCATCTTTCATTGTTCCTAAAACAAAATTAATTATTATATTTCTTAAAAAAATCATTTTTTAATATTAGCCCGAACTTTAAATTTTATCCAAAGCGTACATAGTGTCGAACATCATAATGGTAAGTACATTTTATTTAACTAATTTGAATTCAGTTTAAATCTTTATTATAAAACGCACCTATGGTGATTTAGCACCTATTTATTAAGTTATTATAAGGTTGTACATAGAATTTTTAACGTAAAAATTTTCAAATTATGGTTAGTATTTAGAATTATAATAAAGGTTTTTGGAGGGTATAGAACATTTTTACTTAGAACCTCTCGTAAAGATTATTTAACCAGTTTTTGAGATAATATATTCATAGGTGTAAAACACCATATGTAGGTGCGTTTTACGTAGTAAAAAGTGTAGTTTAAATTTCATTTGATGTACTTTTTCAATTAATTTAGTCTAATTGATAACGCTAATTAATGAGAAATGCCAATCTATACTCGAATAACTTATTTTTATCAAAAAAAAAAATTTTTTGGAAATTTCGATTTTTAGATTACGTAAAAAGATTGGCATCTTACATTTGACGACACTCCAATATGCATTGTAATACGAACTATGGTATTACTATGTCGGGTTAACATTCAATAGCATTTTGACCTATGAAACTGTAATCAGTTTTTTTCTAACATGAATGAATTTTGTTTTTTATTCTCATGGGATACAAGATTCTTTGTCATGCCAAAGTATAAGCGAACCAAACAAATCTTAGTTTATTATTTTATGAATATCGAATTCCAAAATTAATATTTCAAATTTCGGATCACTTGCAGGAGTAGGATAGATGTCATCGTTAATAAATGAATTATTTTAATCAAATTATTAATTAATTGATTTAGATAGACCACCTATATCGCAAGAGACCCTAAATTTAAAATAAATTTTTTTTAGTTTATTGTACTTGGTCTAGAAATCACTAATTCTAACTGAATTGAGTATTATTAAAAATGTTAATAAATTGCATCAATAGCATAGGACTAACAACGAAAAGTAAAATATTGAGTTCAAATAAAAAAAAAAAAAAACCGGTTAAATTCTAAAATAATTAAAAACCTTGTTATATTTTTATGGAACTGTTATGTTGAATGAGATAAATTCACATAATGTTAAAAAAAAAAAACGGATAATTATGTGCAACTATACTTGCATCGATGCAGTAAATAATTCATTCATGTATCAGCACTGTCACTATCTTCACTATCAGATCCTTTGTTACGTATGACCTTTGTTTTATGACGATAATATATCCTTGATAGATCGTCTGTCGATAGTTTAAAGAATATCATGGACCAAGCACATACATATACGTACATAACAAAATTACACAAAATATGCACATGTATTTTTTAAAAGGGCTTAAAAATAGAAATTATTTCCTAAATTGTACACAATTGTAATTAGAACATAATGTTAACACCAATTAGAAAAAAACAAGTAGAAAATCTTAACACAATAGTTAACAAGATTTTTTTCCATAAGCTTTGTTCTTATGTATTCTCTAACGTATGTTTCATCCATCCCGGTACCCTGTTTACGGGTAATTTTGCATCAAATTTGATCGAACAGGAGAGTTACACTGTCGTATGTTAAGGTTCAAGTAAGCCTAGATCCGTACATAGAAATTTTTAAACCGTAATATTAGACACAAAACACGATTGAACCCATATTAAGAAAACAGCCTCTGAACCGGATTGTCGGTAACACCCGAAAATGTAGATATCGCATCGCATGCTGAAAATAACGATAACAAAAAAATGATATAATTGGTTATGAAACGAATTAACGAATTTAAAATATATGGTTAATTTACGTCAGGAGTTTGTACTAAGTGTTGCGAGTTAAAATATATTGATGCATTTATGTTTGTTTTTTAATTAAGTTTGCAATTATAAAAAGGTGGCGAACATCTCGGCAAAAATCTCATCCCTGTACATTGTGAAAAAAGTTACTAGTGGATCCCGTTGTATATACGTGCTCTGTCTCAGTTCTCACCTCCTCCAAAATAGTTTTTGACTCTCGTTGATCGGGTAATCTATATAAAGACTCATTCATTCCTAATTCCCTTTGACACTCGTTGATCGAGTAATATTCACTGCAAATAATCGAAATGTTGTCTCCACTTTCTTCTTATTCTACGAAATGCTTCCATAACTTCAGTACTTCAAAAAATAAAGTTCAAAAAACTCAGCTTACCCCAACTTTTTCTCCTACGAAAAATCTTTTAAACCTTATTACAATTTCTCAAATTCCAAAAACCCCAACGACTTCTATTTCTTCCCCTTCGAGAAGTCTCTTTAATTTAATCATAAAACCTCAAACTCCAAAACCTTTAGCCAATTCACAAATTTCTACCACCGAAAAACTATTTGATTCTATGGACACTCAACAAAATCCAAAAAAATATAACAATAGTTTCCAATTGCATAATAAAGACTTTAAAAATTCGGGAATCGAAAACGAATATGGTGAAAAATTTTATTATATTAAAGAAGATATTTATGTCGCTAGAGTTGTTAGAGGTCATAGAATTTACATTCAGGGTGGGTATTATGAACAAGAAATTAGTAAAGAGATTGAATATATACAAGAATTGGCTAAAGGTTGTGATAACATTGTTCAATAGTAAGTATTTTTTTTTTTTTAAACAAATTAATCGATAGAATCGTGTGCACTTACATGTCTTTTTTTTTTAATAGCTATGGATATGTCACAAGAGGTCCTTATTTCTACATGATTACCGGTTGGGGGGAATTCAAGCTTAAAGATTTACTTTTTTCTGAAAAAGGAAAACTTGATTGGGAGCAAAAAGTTTCGATTGCTCGTGGTATCGCTAATGCTCTACGACATATTCATCAACAAGGAAAAATGCATTATGATCTTAGTAGGTGACGTATCATAGGGATATAATTGTCCATCCTTTTTTTTATTTATTCATAAATAAATTAATCAATATTTTTCATCTTTAGTGAAAACATCTTATTGACTGATAACCTAGAACCAATGCTTTATAATTTCCGTGTCCCTGGAGGATCATCATCTACTGACTGTCTTACAAGGTATATATATATGCCACATCATCGTTATCTGCTTATTGTCCTTATCATTATATCCTTTCATATCAACGAATATATGTCAATTATAGATGGTCTTCACCGGAGGCCTGGATATACAGGATACATAAACCCTCGAGTGAAGTATACAGCTTTTCAACAATCCTTTGGGAATTATCAGCTGAAAAGTTACCTTTTGATTCGATACCTGATAAATTTATTCACAAAACAGTCAATAAACGTCCTAAACCTGAATCAATCGAAGGAACTCCAATTGTTTATCATGATTTAATGATAAAAGGATGGGCACAAAACCCTGATGATCGTCCAACAATGGATGAAGTTTTTAAGGTTCTTAAAATTCTAGAATCAGATTTTAAGAATGGTCGAGATATTAAAAAAGTTTCCGAGACTTCTTCCTTAACTAATAACTTTAAAAAGAAATTGGTACTTGATTCTAATGTATCATCACATGAATGGAATGATGACTCTACTATCTTTGTCCCTGATTTTACCACGAATACAGTGAACCGCGATGATTACCTTGAATCTAGTTTTAATGATAAGGCTTCTTCACGTACTTCATCTTTGAATTCTGTATCAACTGTGATACAAGATCACTTTTATTCTGCTACCGCATCTTCAAAGTTATCAAATGATCCTATAATCGAACCACAACCTACATTATCACATACCTTGGAAGATGCCATCTTACTCCATAATAAGAAAAAATATAAAAAAGCATTTGAAATTTTTAAGGCGCACTCTGAACATAATAATGATCCTATCGCAAACTATTGGATTGGATTATATTATTACAAAGGACTTGATGGTGAAAAACCGAAATTTAAAAATAGTGCAAAGTATTTATCAGAGGCTGCCGAACAAGGACATTCTGATGCTCAATTTTTGTATGCAAAGTTATTATTTACGGGACATTCTGCTGAACATCATAAAAATAATACAATGAATATTGGTGCTGAAATGTTGAAAAAATCTGCGGATGCCAAAAACCTTGATGCAATGAGTTATTATGGGAAACTGTTGATAAAAGGAGGATACACTGTGAAAAAGGATGTTAATGCTGGTAGAGAGTTACTTAATAGAGTTAACGAAATTAGAATTTCGTCTTGTTTAAATAATCGTAATCATTTATCATCTGTTTCTATGGAAAAGACGAAAAGTAATACGTTCACTCAAGTAAATCCTGTAATTGTTAATAGCCAAATGAAAACTAGAACGTTAAGTGCGCCTTCTAAACCTGTAAATATTGCGCTACGAAGATCTCCAAAATTATCGCTTACGATTGATACCGAAAAATTGAGGTCAATTACATATTATTGAACAATATAAAATATAGTACAATATGGGGGTTTATGAGACAGGGCACGTTTGCAACGGTACTTTATTGTATACCGATGCGATCACTTCATAAATTTATTTTTGTACATTAAAAAATCGGTCTATTATCCAATAAAGTGTTTTTTTATTTATTAAATTACCTTCGACATTTCAAGTGGACATGCGTAAAGATACGTGTTGTAATAATAATAAATTTATAACTTCCCAAATGTTTAAACGAACAAGCAATTTAAAAGTTACACGGTTATCCCCTTTTTTGACCGGAAAGGTTCGAAAATCATGTGATATTGTCAATTCATCATGATTAGATCATAATAATAATATTTACTAAAATAATTTAGTGATTTTTTTTCTTCGATTCTTTAAAATGAAAAGCGATTTTAAAAGCATAAGATCCAATAAATACACTATTCTAAAATACTGTATATGTTAATTACTGTTATCAAATTTCCACTAACAATAAATGAAAAAAGAATGAAATTTATAAAAACTAATCAAGAAAATGCAATTGCACCAGAAAGCCTTGTAGATTTAATTTTTAATGCTCTTCCGATAGATTATAACTATGATTACTTATTTGAATCCAGGACGCAGCAACAAAAATTATTGACGAAAACATAATGAATCCAAATAGTAACAAATGGTCGATAGTATTAATAAAAACTTTGGGTCATTGCATAAATTGGAGGATTATAATCATTTTAAAAGGAATATTACAAAAACCGTAATCATAATACTTTCTGGCCGTAATAAATATTACGTTTATTGAATTATTTGAAACGAAAAAATGATTAATTTATTATTTATCGTTATTATTTTGTCAGTCTAAATTTGTTTGTTTGTATTTTTTGTTGACATGAATTTTTTAGTGCTCGCTATATTTGTCACGTGATGCTCGAAACTTTTTTGGGTGGCGATTTTACCCGGTCCCTTATTGTACGTAATGCGGACCACAATTATTGTAAAGTTGTCATAGTGTATGCCAGCGGTGCTTATTTTCGGGAAATACGGTATCTTTAAGTTTACAAATGGACTTGGTGCGACAAAAAAATAATGTTATAATTTTATAATAAATCATTAATATAATTACTTTTGTATTTTAAGTAAAAAATGATCCTAATCTTATTCTAAATTAATTTATGCAAAAAAAAATCCATTTTTAAAATTTTGTCAATTTACTCCCGTTTTGCAGCACCAAGCAGGTAGGTAAGTCATGGCAGAAAAATGTCGCGGTGACGTGATCGCCGACTACTTCCGACCTGATAGTACAATTTACGTATTATTTTGGAAAAGATTATTAACAGTTAATAATCATTTCATCGTAATACATAATTTAAATAATCAGGTCGGAAGTGGTCGGCGATCACGTCACCGCGACATTTTTCTGCCATGACTAACCTACCTAGCACCAAGCCCAAATGTTCTTCAATTCGATCAATTCACCTGTGAATCAGCTCTGACGCGATATCTAAGTTTATAAACTAGGTTAATGAACAACATTTTGTATGAAGCAAGATAAACGACTTGAAGTGGAAGTAAATTTAAGACAGGTCTGATGTAGATATGGGACCACCCGTAGCAAAAAGGGGCAGTGGGACAATCATGTGCTTTTGAGAATTTAATATAGTAATACTGTAATAATAAAGAAAAATTTTAAATTAATACATTTTTTACTAGTAGATTTTTACAAACTAAAAATGTTTTTAGAAATATAACACTTATAAGCAAACTATTATTATAAAATCCCAATTTCTGATTGGTTGGTCCACTACCCCCTTGCTGTGGCGAGCCTCATATGTTAAAACCTAGGTTGGCCAATGGACAAAAATGTGGCTTAGAAGATGCTAATGGACTATGTCCATTGACATTTTTCTCAGAACCCATTTCCGACCCTGGTTAAAACCGATCAAAACTTCATTATCATATGAGTGTCGGCAAAGGAAAACATACACATTTAAATATAGGCTATATATATGTTGTAAGTGGAAATGGAGTCTAAGTGGATTCAGAATTTTACATCAAACCAGCATTTTAGAGTTGATTTTATCATACGAAATTCACTTATATACATAATATTATTATTCGTTGGTCATTACTGTATCTGGCACAGACCCACTGAAAATTTTCATAATATGGGCAGCATACAGCAAAAAAGGGCTTCGAAACATTCTACCAAAATCAAGATTTTCATTTCCACTCGTGATAAAAATTTTAATACGCATTACATATTTACATTATAATTTAATGCAATTTTACACGCAGTTAAATGAATTAAAGGTTAACTCTCTAAGATATAAAAATGATCAAACGGATTTTTCTTTAAGGGATCGATTTTCAAGTCATGTGATTTCCCGAGGTCTTTTGTCTTCGAAGAAAAGGTTCGGTTCAGGCATATGTTAAGACTAGAAAGTGCTGTCCTATAGTGAAATTTCACAAGTAGGGTTGGAGACACGGGAAAAAATTTGGGTATACCCCTCTTATTGTGCCCGGGGGCAGTGTTGTCATTATACTTGCTGGCAAAACCTGGACAAATCCCAAACTCCAAAAAAAACAGATTGCTTTTATAAAAAATTAAATCAACAAAATAATTTTGATATTTTGTAAATATATTATATATAGCTATAAAAATATATATTATTTGTTTAAATAAAGATTATTAATAAAGTTTTTGAGATATTAATTTGGGCTTGAGTTTGGGATTTGGGCCCAAACTATAATAGTCTGGGATTTGGACAGCAAGTATAGTTGTCATGGGACACGGACGCGGACAGCGAACATGTCCGCCAATATTTTTTTGTCCCTGACAATTAAAATTATAATAAGAACGGCAATCAGGTTGTTCGATAACCATATGACATGGGACGTTGTCCGTGTGACGGGACAATGTCCGCGTACAACACTGCCCGGGGGCATGCCCTTCTATATATACCAAGTACTATACTGTTAGATATAATTAAAAATCCTTTTAAAAATTATATTAACGTTAAGTAAAAACTGACGAATATGCACCGTCGCGTTTAGAATAGCACGTGTATATAAAATATTTAAATTGTGCAACATTTGGAGATTAGGGGTAGCTAGGCGCTAAACCAGGAACGTAAAATATTTACTATTATTACTAACTTACTATTAAAATCATGAATCTGTTTACTGTTGAAATTGAAACTCACCCAATATTGAAGTCATTAAATCATCATTACTAATTGAAGTTATCAACATCAACTTACTATGATTTATAGCTATGTATATAGAGAAAGTCACCAAAAGATTTTCACATAGTTATGAAGAGAATTGGTTCAATATGTGACATTAATACTGTTTATTTAAACAAAAGTGATCCTTGCACTAATGTTTTATCCACAAGCACACAACCTATTTAACAAAGTTTCTTGCACTCTTAATTCATCCACGAAGGCTAATTGATAAAATCCTTTTATTGCTACTGTAGCCTCAGTATCTAATTGCTACAAAAACAAAGTTCTTGCAATCGCATAGCTTGATTTTATTTACCAACACACTTCGCCTAACAAACCAGGTGCTAAGTATTAAGCTTGTTGCTAATTTACTGAAAAATGGGCAGAGTGAGCAATAGCAAAGAGACGGTAACCTCTCTTTACCAAAAAAATCGTTCTTGAACACACTGCATTTACATACACGTTCTTAGCCCTTTCATTTCATGCTTGAACCGATGTGATGACACTCTATCAGGCAAACTGATTACAGCTTCTACATCTACCTAACAATAATTATAAATATAAGTTACTCGGAGCAATGAGTATATATATAATTTAAAAATTTTTTAAATTATAGATAACTTTTATATTTTAGCTATCTTATTTTTAGTTCTAATCTTAAAATTTGATAAGCTGTTATACAAAATGTTTAGAAATATATATTCTCAAGGTAGTTGTTAGATATTGTCGCCAATTGGCATACTCAAATTACATATAATTAAGATTTATAATTATATGATATGGGCATGCCTTTTGGCTTAGGGGCATGCCCCTATTCACAAAGTCTCGAAGGTGGTTTACTAGCATAAATTTAAAGCAGGAGAAACCGTCGACGTTACACGACTGATCCTTCACCTAGTGTGCAACATAATATTTATTATTTCGCTAGTAAGTAATCACACACCATTTTTATTATAATAAAATGGTGTGGAATTATAATCATAACATGTACTAGCAGAATAAATATTTTTTTATATGTTGCACACCGGGTGAAGGATCAGTCGTGTAAAATCGACGGTTCCTCCTGTTCGTTACACCAGATCCGGATTTTTAATTGGCCAATTGATATCGGAAAATCACATGAATGGAAAATCGAACGCGCACAAAAAAATTGTAATTTTGATCAGAATCAAGTGTAACGTAAAAATCGAAACGAAACCACTTTTTACAAGAGATCTAAAAAATGTTCCTTGTGCAATTTTACTAGCAAATCCTATACTGATCTAATCCTAACCCTAACTACAGCTTTCTTGGTTTTGAAATTTTTTTTAATACAGTAATACGTTTGGTTTGACTATGTATCACGTTACACCTGATTATAAATTTTGATTGGTCAATATTACAGGGGTGAACAATTTCGGAAATGCTTTTGCGCATAGACCCATATGTCAGGGGCACAGAAAATTTCCAAATTTTGAAATTTAAGGTGACACCTCTCTGCACCCTCACATCTGCATCTGGGCATAAAGCTAATGAATGCCAAGAGCATGCGCTTAATACAGTTGCATCGGTTCACAAAAGATCGGTCCGGGTTTCTACTATTGAAATCAGGACCTTGGTTTTTTTTTATTGGATCCGGGCCCAGACCCGTAAATAATGGACTAGGGAAATCCCAATTCGAAAGCAACTGCCGAACGGTGATTTTTCTAGACCATGAGCCAAGTGTTTTTCGGTTGAGTTTGATGTAGGCTCATACTCATTTCCTTTAATAAATATCGAAGCTTATTACACATCGCAGCTTATTATTGTATATTCTAGACCAATGCTATTTTGCAAAATGATATAGATAATTGGTGTGTAATGTAATGTACAATTGAAATATTCACCACCTAAAAAAAACTAATCCTAACTTAATAAAAGTCATAAATTGAGATAATAAAAAAATACAATACTCTTTAGCATAAACTGAAATATCACATGTTTGAGATAAGATTATACATTTGTTTCCCGGTTTTAATAAAAAAAAAATATCAAATTAATTAATTATTTATTACATAGTTTGTCAAATATTTGGATAATATTTGGATTGAAAGTGCTCACGTACAAGTTTTTGAACACCTTCAACTTACTGAACAATTTGGAAGCATGATTACACCGTATATTTTAAATGGTAGATCTGTTTAGCACAACATAAAGCTCAATATTAGTTGGATTCACGAAATTTAAACAATGTTATACCACATGCGTATATGTCTAGACACCAAAATGCATTCTGTCGAGAAATTCAAAAATTCTGCAACGTTTTCATCGGTACAAAATGGTTGATATGTAATAAAAAGTGATCAATTATTTAGATCTTCTAAACAACTCGTTTTGTTTTTCTATGTCATAGATAGACATAGTAATTTACACATTATTTTCGCATTTATAATATACAAAAATATTCAAAATGCCTGTAAAAAACTGGAAAAGAAAAGTTTTTGAAGCATTTAAACTCTTCTCGCATTCAAATAAAGGTAAGATATTAATAACAAATAGATATATGGAGAAATAAAGAAGTAAATACCACCAATTCAAATTTAACATGCTCTTTTGTATACAGCTGACCCAATTGATGATAAAGATTGTTGGTCATCTTCGGAATCCGAAAGTAGCCGCCTATCGATGGTCAGCAGCCGCCTATCAGTGAGTCGCCTATCGATAGTCAGCAGTCGCCTATCGGTAGTCAGTAGCAGATCTCGACGCAGTAGTTTCAATAGATCAATACATGAAACAGACTTCTCAGAATACAGTGTAGAAATGACAGGTGTGAATAGATGTCCAAAATGTAGTCAATCAGTATCACAAGATTGGTGCAAAAAATGCGAGTCCAAAATATTTAAAAAACTTTCGAAATGGACAAGCGGTAATGAACACCTCGATAAACTTATTAAGTATACACAACATAAAGCTTATGGACCATGTACTTCCTGGGAATGGATTCCATATGAAGGATTTTCGGATGTCCATTATTTATCAAAAGGCGAATTCGGAACAGTGTTTGTTGCAACTTGGGTAGATGGACCTAGAGATTTATGGGACGATGACTCGCGGCAGCATATCAGAAGAAAAGATTGTAAAGTTGCGCTTAAAAGACTTGACAAAGATATTATTAATTTAGAGTTCATTAATAAGGTACATACATTTGCAAACTAATACATATATATATATTTTTTTTTTTTAAAAAAAAAAAAAGAAATTAATACCTATTAAATTCATCTTTTTAATAAAGCTACGGTCATATTATTGTAGAAATAAAACGCGTTGCGATTGTGCCATTCGAATATATGGAATTTCACGTGAACCGGAGACAAATAACTATATTGTAGTTATGCCTTATTATCATAAGGGAGACATTAAATCCACTTTACGAGGAAAAAAAACAGGACCCACATGGCAAGAAAAATTTCTAATATTACGTGGCCTTTCAGATGCATTAAAAGATATTCATTTAAAAGGACATACGCATAGTAATTTACATCCTGGTAACATATTTCAAGTGCCCCAAGGTTCGAGCATACGTATTATTGTTGGAGATTTCGGAATGAATAAGTCAACATGTAGAGATCCAACATCTTTAGAACCTTATGGTGTTGTGCCTTACGTGGCACCAGAGATTTTACGTAACTGGCCACATACTCAAGCTTCGGACATATATAGTTTTGGCATGATAATGTGGGAACTGTCGTCGGGTAAACCTCCGTTTTGGGACAGGGCGCATGACGAACATTTAGTGTTTGATGTCTGCGAAGGATTGCGACCGAATATTGTGGCGGGAACACCAGAATGTTATGTTGAATTAATGCAAAAATGTTGGAATGATGAACCTTCGAATCGTCCTAGAGCCCTTGAAATTTTTCAAACCATTCAATTATGGGATATTTTATTATTTAGATCTATGGACGAAAAGCTGTCAAACAATTCAGAAAGTTCCAATGGAGAAGTCAATGTTCATCCTGAAGCCATATATACAAGTAGGCCACTTAGCAGAATCATTACACAAGGATATGGACTTGAATTTACACTTTCTCAGGATCATACACGCGAATCTATTCATTTTGAAAGTGAGTTTATTATTATTAAAATTATAAAGTTTTTTTTCAATAATCGGGTTTGACAAATTGATATATTATTTTCAACATAGATTCTGAAATTCAAGACAAAATTAGGAAGACAATCTCGAAAAAGAGACGTAGTGACTTGGTTCTTAAACCAAATGCCGCACAACGTATTTCGGTCTCAAATGATAATATCCCAACTATTGAAGTGCATACATATGATTCGGAACCTTCAGACGAAGAATAATTAATTATTTTATGAATAGTTTATAAATTTATCGTTATGAAGTTTATGCTGTCTAATTTATTTACATGAACGGTGATGTTTATATAAGTTACATAATGAGCATCTCCAAAAGTCTACACAGAATCTCAATTTTTTATCATTAATTATACACTTTTTTTTTTTTGATTACTTTTAAGTGTGTTGTATAATAATTCCATACAACTAGACAATAATTTGAGTTTATTACTCATTCATTAATAATTTCGTAGAAAATTCGTTGTGTGAATGTGGACTTTATTTTCAGCCAATCAAAATAACTTATTTGAAAAATGGGTGACTGTTAGTTATTCTAGTCATACCATCAATAATTACGTATTCATTACTCTAGTACGTTATTCTGAAAGTGGTCAAAATGATGAAATGCCTAAATATATTAAAAAATATCAGGCATAGGACATTTCTAAGGGTGGTAAAAAAAACATTTCTCACCGTCTTAAAACATGTGATGATTATGAACCGAATACTTTAAATTTAGACTTCGCATATTTAAACCATAAACATCACATATTTTAAAATGGTGAAAATATATTTTTTTTGCCATCTTTAGACATTTCCTCTTGATTGTACTTATTGGTCAAATGAGATAACATACTTTTTTTAAATTTTACGCATTAAAAAAATATGAAGTTTAAATAATATTCATCGAAATTTTATTGCACTTTACTAAAAGCTACAAGATTAAACCTCCAAGTAATTTTAAAGGGGTTGATTTAAATTTGATCTCTGTTCTTTATTATGTTTTTTAAGTCGAAAACCAACTACTTAAAGCAATTTTATAACTGGTTAAAATAATCTTAAAAAATTAAAAATGTAAATTATAAAGATTTTTCTAGTTCTGATGATGGTTAGGGTATCAAAATCGGTTGGTAGATTTCAGAATACTTGGAATTAAAAGCATAAATATAGGGATTTGCAAATTCAAAGTATTAAAAACAAAACATATATATAATTTTTTAAAAGGTTATTTGTTAAATATTAAATATATAATTATTGTTCATTTTTATTCTAGATAATATTACCTAATTATATAAAAGTCAATTATTTTACAAAATCTTATATAACCAAAACAAAGTAAAAAAAAAAGAAAAAATCAAAAAATTTTAATAACTTAAAATCTTATTATAAAACCATGCTTTGACTTTTAAAAAAAATTTTCAGTACAAAACTTTATATATATTTAATTTTTATTTTTAATTTTTTTTTTTTAAATATTAAAAATAAGACTATGCTTTTAACTTTATTGAAATTTAAATAAAGTTTTTACAAAAAAAAACTTGTTTTTAAAATTATACTGTATATAAAGAATAAAGACGCAGACATATAATCTAAATTCTAAATCTACAAAAGTAATTAAAGTTCATTTAAATTTGAATATAAGTAAAAATATAAAAAAGAAAAATATGATATTTAATTTATTAAATAATTCAAAATTTAATTTTATAAAATGAAAGATAAAGTTAAATTAGAGAAAAAACTATGAGATAAGTTAATAAAAAAAATAGTTAAAAGTTGTTTAGAATATAAGATACAATAAAGAATTTAACTATTTTTGTAAACTTGTTGGTTTAAGTTAAATAAAAAAAAATAGCAAGACAATAGAAATAAAAATGTTTTAGATAACAAAAATAATGTTAGTTCAAACTAAATTAAATAAAGTAAAGATTAGAAAAAATTTATATAAGAGATTGTATAGTTTAAAACTATTAAATAAAAGAATTTATTAGTACAATTTAAAAATAAGATTGGCAAAAATGTAAAGTTGAGTTGAAAATAGTATTAAATAAATTAGAAATTAGTTTGTAAATAGTTTAAATAAAAAGATAGTTAGTTCAGTATATAAAAAAACTAGTTAAAAGAATGATAATCCTAGTGTAGTAGTTAGGTTATTATCCTTTAAGTAGCAGGTTTAAGGTTCAAATTCTATCTAAAGCTCCTAAGTTCAGTTCAGATTGTTTAAGTTTAGTTAAACTTTTGAACTCTAACTGAACCTAAACTATAACATTTGTGCAATTCTGAACCTGAACCTAAATAATTAAAGTCTAAACCTAAACCAGACTCAAACATAAAATTATATTCAGTTTGAGTTCAGTTTGAAGTTCATGAACTTATTCAGATTCAAATATGTTTTTTATTTTTTATTTTTAATTTTTTTTATTTATTTAAAATTTTTTATTTAAAATTTTTTATTTATTTATTTAATTTATTAATATTTTTTTTATTAATTTATTTTTTATAAATCTAACCCATAAACTATGCTTGTATGATAGATTATACAAAGTTTAATACTAATTTAAAAGTCTATTAGCTGTAGCATATATATAAGATAAGATTATTAACTATGATAATACAAAAATTATTTTTAAAATAAAAATAAGTTCTTTGTCTGTATGTTTAGAGAAATTTGATAATGATCAATATAATAACTATGATAATGATTATAATAACAACCAAAATAATAACCATAATAACAATTATGATAATGATCATAATAACAACTATGATAATAATAATGATAATAATCATAATGATGATTATAATAATGTTAATGTTAATGTTAATATTAGTACTATTAGCAAACTAAGTAATGTTAGTAAAATGTAAAATTTTTTTAAAAAACTTGTATATAAAAAAAATAAAAAACAGCCAAATGTATTGTATCAAAGTATTAATACAAGAAGTTTTTTTGTAAGAAGAAAAGAACAACCAAACCTTTGTAATGCTATTTGGAGAGTTCTCATTAGATAAAGTATACCAAAATGGCAAAATATCAAAAAAAAAACACAAGATGAATGTGATAACATTGAAGAAGCATTTAAAAAGATAAGTTTAGAGTTCTGAAAATGTTAGACATAATACTATTAAACATAGTGCCTGTGTATAGCATAAACATTATATTTAATAGTATTATATCTTAGAACTTCTAAAACTATAATAAGTTAAATTTTTTACTTAATTTTCAAATATGAACTAATTTAAAATTTTATTTTAAATTCTTAAGAAATCTTTACTATGTTATTTGCTGATATTAATAGTATAAAACTTCACAATATGTTTGTCATCTAGACTATTAACTATTAATACCTATTTACAATAATCAAAAACTCTAAGTTAATAGAAATTGTACAATATTTGAACCCAACTGCATAGTTAGTCAAAGCTTATACAATAAAGAATACAATTATATTGCTTTATAGTTTAGGTAAACAGAAATTGAAGACAAGAATTCATATTATCTTATAATATATTATAGGTAAATTTAGAGTTATATAAATTCAAAATTCACTTAAGTGAATTCTAAATTTGCTTAAATAGATTTTTAATCTTAAATTTAAATAAAAAATTAGAATTTAAAAATAAATAAAAAAATAAGTATTAAATATTATAATAGTTTAAAACATGTATTTAATATTACAATTGCTTATATATATATATATATATTTTTTTTTTGTTAAAGGCCATACTTGTAGCGATACTTTATTGACTTATATCAGGTTAGCTATTACAAGATGAGAGTACAGCTAGTCACATATGCAACTTTTGATTACCTATTTAAATAGTCTACTCTAAGGTTCTACACTAGATGTCATACCTATAATCTACTAGGAGATTATTTATTTTAAACTCTCTGATCATCTGCCTTGTTATATTGGAATCTCCAGCTAATCCTCCATATATACCTAACTGATATACCATCTGAGCAGTATGATTACCTACTCTTTTTGTACTGGTTCTTAGACCATTATATATTTCAGAGTATGTCATCTGCCAGTAAGATACAAGGGGCCTTCTATTGTTAACTATCTACTCACTTTTAGAATACTAACATAGGCTACCCTTATAGAGTTTATTCAAACCCCAGTACTGACTTCACAGCATATTCTTAGTATTTTTAGTATATTCTGCTTTGAACTTAAACTTCCAATTCAGATAGCCTGAAAGGACTATGACCTGTTCTTAGTATATTGAGGCTGATCTAATATCCTTTCCTTTGGTTCAAAATCTAGCAGCCTAGTTGATAGTACCTCTTATCTAAGGTTCTTGCCCACCCGAATCTTTCACATTGATATCCATTTCCTAGGTCTAGACTTTACAGTAGTATTGTCGAAGATCTGTGTTATCTTTCTGCTCAGAATTTCCATGTGGGCTCTGGCTTTTCAGTTCTATGAATTTACACAGCTCAAGAACTTATTTTAGGTTTGTACTGCCTAGTACTGATTTGCATTTCTCTATGTAACAGGTTATACAGATGCCCCAAACCTGCCAGTCATGCTGGTGTGACTATAGTTACTGGTATCCTATCCCAACTGATCGACAAAAAGCCATCACCATAATACTATCTATATTGTAATATTATAGATATTTTTAAATATTATTTTATATTATTTTATTGATATTATATTAGTTTTATATTATAT